TTTAGGGAAGAATTTTTATTAAAAATTTGAGATTTTACATCTATGGACTCATTATGGAAGTTATATTCAAGTTATGTCACTCTTTTATTTATTTGTATCTATTATTTAGGGCGCTACAACACTTATTTATTTGTACTTATGTACATGCTTTACAACAAATTTTCTTCTGCAGTTGCAGCCAGCACTGTCCTGTCACCAGCATATCCTGTTTTATCACCCCAGACCCCAGATGAATCCTTCCTCATCCAGCTGTACTGGGTGAATCCCTGGGCAGGATCCAGTGCCCTGCGATGCCACTGCCAGTGTGAAACAGTCCCAGGTGATAAAGCTATATAGTTTCCCAGCAGAGTGCAGCTTTCCCCTCACTGGCCCAGGGGTGCAAGTTTATTCACTCAGTCCTTCTTCTGTGCCGGGGGATGGTGGGTTAGTAGGCTGCTACCCAGGCCTTCTAGTGGGCCGCTTCTTTCCCTGTTGCATAGGTGGTCCTCTTTCTGGGGGCTGGTGTAGTCCCAAGCTTTGCTTCCTCCAAGCTCCTCTGCCTGTAGGTGAGCCTTCTCCATCTGGGCCCCCTCCCACGGCTCCTCCTCTCCAACCTCACGTCTCCATCTTCCACTCAAACTCCCCTGCTGCTCAGCATGTTTAGTTACTCTTAAAAGGATATCCTGGCCCTTGCCATGCCTCCTGTCGGGGATTGACCAGGATCCTCTAAGACTACAGACAGCCACTCCTCACCTCCACCCACTGCTTCTAGATATTCCTCCAAAGTTCTAGTGCAGGGGGAAGTTCCAGAAACTTGGTCTGCAGAGCCTCTCAGCCCTGACCAAATTTGACCTCCCTCTGACTATCACACCCAAGACTCTACTCAGCCCTCCTCACTAACAATTAGAGCTAGAGCTCCCCCTAGCTGACAAGGAGGGAGCTACATTAAAAAATGTGCTGCACCAAATTGTCTGATTACTGCAGTACTATGTAGAGATGAGCGAATTATTCAAAAATTCGATTCGGGTGATTCGCCGAATTCGCGGAATAAATTCGATTCGAGGCGAATATATTCGCTGCGAATTTAACTTATAAAAAGGGTGTTTCTAGGCTTCAGAGAGCCTTTATATTAGTGCAGAAACACTGTACCTTTTAATTTAAAATGCCCTTGGAGTCTGCTGGGGAAGAGAAATAATACTGTCAGTCAGTATGACATGCAGATGAGTGCCGTCGATCTTAGAATCACCGCACACTTCACTCATTTGGGCAGTCACGGGGCCAAAACCAGAGTGTGGAGCCACAGTGTGGCGGTGGAGGCGAGCAGCAATGGGAGGCCATACAGCACCCTATGACAAAATGGAACCCACCAGCAGTGTGAGGAGACCTGAAAGTGGCACATGGCAGAGTGTGGCGATGGAGACAGCAGCAATGGGAGGCCGTACAGGGACCCATGACACACTCTGGACCTGGCAGCAGCATGAGGAGGCGGTACAGGGGCCCATGGCAGATTACGGGCCCTGGCAGCAGCATGAGGAGGCGGTACAGGGGCCCATGGCAGAGTGGCGGAGGCGTAAGCAGCTAAAATTGAAGGCCATACAGAGGCCTAGGTTAAAAAGTCCCCCAGCAGCAGCGTGGGTGAGCGACTATCAAGAGTCCAATGGCAGAGTGGCGGAGCAGAAGCAGCTTCAATTGAAGGCCATATACAGGCCTAGGTTAAAAAGCGGAAGCCGTCAGCAGCGTGAGCAGACGACAGAGACACATGGCGCAGGGTGGCGGTGGATGCAGCAGTATTCGGAAGCCAAACACAGGCCTCGGTGAAAAAGCGGAAGCCGTCAGCAGCGTGAGCAGACGACAGAGGCACATGGCGCAGGGTGCCGGTGGAGGCAGCAGCAATGGAAGGCCATACAGCACCCTATCACAAAATGGAACCCACCAACAGTGTAAGGAGACCTGAAAGTGGCACATGGTGCAGGGTGGCGGTGGAGGCAGCAGTATTCGGAAGCCATACACAGGGCCTAGGTTAAAAAGCGGAAGCCGTCAGCAGCGGTGAGCAGACGACAGAGACACATGGCGCAGGGTGGCGGTGGAGGCAGCAGTATTCGGAAGACATACACAGGCCTCGGTTAAAAAGCGGAAGCCGTCAGCAGCGTGAGCAGACCTCGACAGAGGCACATGGCGCAGGGTGGCGGTGGAGGCAGCAGCAATGGAAAGCCATTTATAGCACCCTATCACAAAATGGAACCCCACCAACAGTGTAAGGAGACCTGAAAGTGGCACATGGCGCAGGGTGGCGGGTGGAGGCAGCAGTATTCAGAAGACATACACAGGACTAGTTTAAAAAGCGGAAAGCCGTCAGCAGCGTGAGCAGACGACAGAGGCACATGGCGCAGGGTGGCGGTGGAGGCAGCAGTATTCAGAAGCCATAACACAGGCCATAGGTTAAAAAGCGGAAGCCGTCAGCAACGTGAGCAGACGACAGAGACACATGGCGCAGGGTGGCGGTGGATGCAGCAGTATTCGGAAGCCAAACACAGGCCTCGGTTAAAAAGCGGAAGCCGTCAGCAGCTGTGAGCAGACGACAGAGGCACATGGCGCAGGGTGGCGGTGGAGGCAGCAGTATTCGGAAGCCATACACAGGACCTAGGTTAAAAAGCGGAAGCCGTCAGCAGCGTGAGCAGACGACAGAGACACATGGCGCAGGGTGGCGGTGGATGCAGCAGTATTCGGAAGCCAAACACAGGCCTCGGTTAAAAAGCGGAAGCGGTCAGCAGCGTGTGAGCAGACCTGACAGAGTGGCACATGGCGCAGGGTGGCGGTGGTGGAGGCAGCAGTATTCGGAAGCCATACACAGGCTAGGTTAAAAAGCGGAAGCCATCAGCAGCGTGAGCAGACAACAGAGACACATGGCGCAGGGTGGCGGTGGATGCAGCAGTATTCGGAAGCCAAACACAGGCCTCGGTTAAAAAGCGGAAGCCGTCAGCAGCGTGAGCAGACGACAGAGGCACATGGCGCAGGGTGGCGGTGGAGGCAGCAGTATTCAGAAGCCATACAAAGGCCCTAGGTTAAAAAGCGGATGGAACGTCCAGCAGCAGTGTGAGCAGACAGACAAAGAGACACATGGCGCAGGGTGGCGGTGATGCAGCAGTATTCGGAAGCCATACACAGGCCTCGGTTTTTAAAAAGCGGAAAGCCGTCAGCAGCGTGAGCAGACGACAGAGGACACATGGCGCAGGGTGGCGGTGGATGCAGCAGTATTCGGAAGCATACACAGGCCTAGGTTAAAAAGCGGGAAGCCGTCAGCAGCGAGTGAGCAGACGACAGAGACACATGGCGCAGGGTGGCGGTGGATGCAGCAGTATTCGGAAGCCAAACACAGGCCTCGCTTAAAAATGCGGAAGCCGTCAGCAGCGGTGAGCAGACGACAGAGGCACATGGCGCGCAGGGTGGCGGTGGAGGCAGCAGTATTCGGAAGCCATACACAGGCCTAGTGTTAAAAAAGCGGAAGCCCAGTCAGCAGGCGTGAGCAGACGACAGAGGGGCACATGGCGCAGGGTGGCGGTGGAGGAAGGCAGAGTATTCGGAAGCCATACAAGGCCTAGGTTTAAAACTGGAACCCAGCAGCGTGAGCAGACGACAAAGGACGCACATGGCAGAGGATGGATCTGGCAGCAGTATGAGACGGTGAGGCGGTACAGGGGCCCGTGGCACAGTGTGGTGATGGGGGCAGGGACAGCAAACTGGATGCCAGAAAGTGGCCGATAGGGCTATATACTGCATGGAATTATAAAGTTGTAAAGACAGGCCTATTTGTCCCTAATAACATGTTTGGGGCATGCATTTCATGGGGATTTAGTCAGTTGTGTCAGGAACTGGTGGTTTTGAAATCCAGACTAATCCACGCCTGATTCATTTTCACAAACGTGAGTCTCTCCACACTTTGGGTGGACAGTCGTGTCCTCCGCGGAGTTACAATACCTCCTGCCGCACTAAACACGCGCTCCGATGCCACGCTACTGGCCGGCATGACAGCCTTTCAAGGGCAAATTCAGCTAGTTGGGGCCAAAGGTCAAGTTTCGTTGCCCAGTAGTCAAGGGATTGTCTACCTCGGTTGGCAGGGTGCTGTCCAAGTAGGCCCAGATGCCTGTTGTTTGAGCTCCTGCTCCAGGTCCACCTGATGCTGCTGCTGCTGCGGCTGGTTAGTAGTTTTCCTCACTGCGCTGGTGAAGAAAGCTACTCATCATCGACTGCAGACTGAGGCAGCCGCTGCTGGTGGAGCTGCCACTGCTCCTACCACCCCACCCCTCCCCTGCTGCCATGGCAGCGGAACGCGAGCGCACAGGGCCCACAGTGTCTGAGGATGGCGTTGGCGCAGAAAGGCAGAGACCAACTGACTACATAGGTGGTTTTTTATAGTACATTTATTTTGGCCTCCCTCTCAGCAGGTGTGAAAAAGGCCACCATTTTTGAACGGTAGCGAGGGTCCAACAAGGTGGACAGCCAAAAGTCATCCCTCTGTCTGATGGTTATTATTCGGCTGTCGCTACGCAAGCAACCGAGCATGCTATGGGCCATTTGTGCCAAGGAATGCGAGGGACTCCCTGCCTCCATCTCCACAGCATACTGCCACGGTGCGTCTGGGTCCTCTGTCTCCTCCTCCTCCTCCTACCAGATGCTCCTGCTCCTCCACTCCTGTCCGCTGAGTGGAAAAACCACCCATTTCACTCAATAATTCCTGAGCACCAATGTCCTCCTCTACCTCCTCCTCTTCTTCCTGTCCTGCCCCCACAGGGGTCATGTGGCGTTGAGATCTGTGCGCCACGTCTACCGCACCCTGACCAGCCATTGTTAACAGCATTTGTTCCAGGACGTGCAACAGAGGAATGACGTCGTTCATCCATAGTCCTGCCGACTCACGAATAGCGTGGCCCTCCTCAAAGGGCCTGAGCAAGCGGCAGGTGTCACACATGAGCTGCCAATGGCTGACATCTAAGTTACACAGGGGAGTACCTTTATCCGCTTGTAACATCAGGAAATCGGTGATGGCCTTTCGCTGTTCGTAAAGGCGGTCTAACATATGTAGGGTTGAATTCCACCTTGTTGCAACGTCGCAGATCAGGCGATGCTGTGGAATTCCGTTCTGCCGCTGCAGCTCAAGGAGGGTGTGCTTTGCGGTGTAGGAATGGCTGAAATGCATGCAAAGTTTACGTGACATTTTAAGGATGTCTTGCAGTGGGATGGTGGATTTTAGGAACCGCTTGACAACCAGATTGAACACGTGAGCCATGCATGGCGCATGGCACAACCTTCCTTGACGCAGAGCAGACACCATGTTCTTTCCGTTGTCGGTCAACATGGTTCCGATTTTCAGTTTTGCGCGGAGACAGCCATCTGTCGATTTCTCTGTTCATTACACTCAGAAGTTCCTCCCCTGTGTGACTACGTTCGCCAAGGCATACCAGGTGCAGCACAGCGTGACACCGTTGCGCCCTGCACATGTGATATGCCGGTCGGGTAATGGGACTTGGCACGGGGGGTGGCGGCTGAGGACACGGCGGAAGAAGAGGTGGTAGAGGCGGACATCTTTGCTGGACCAAGGACGTGCAAACGTGGAGGCAAAAGCGGCGTGACCTGTCCAAGTTGCTGGTGCGGCTGTGCCGGCACCACGTTCACCCAGTGGGCCGTAAATGACATGTACTGTCCCTGACCGTAGTTACAGTCTCCACACGTCGGCGCTGCCGTGCACTTTGGCAGAGACCGACATGCTCAAAGACTGGCCCACCATCTCTTCTACATGTGAATGCAGGGCTGGCACTGCCTTTTTGGCGAAGAAATGCCGGCTTGGCACTCTCCACCGCGGCTCGGCACAAGCCATCATTTCTCGGAAAGGTGCTGAGTCCACCACTTGGAAAGGGAGGGACTGCAGCACCAGCAACTTGGACAGGAGGACGTTCAGCTTTTGCACCGTCGGGTGCGTGCTCGCAAACTGTTGTCTCTTGGAAACGGATTCCAAGAAAGACTGCTGACGGAATCCGTGAAGAGGAGTAGCAGGAGAAGGAGCATCTGAACGAGCGGAAGATGCCAACGAGCGACAACTCCCTCTCAGCAGAGGTGTTGGAGCCTTGACTGGCTGATAGAGGGACGATTGACGTCGGGTGACGGAGCAAGTAAACGGAGAGGGTGATGGAGCGGGGGGCTGGGGCAGGCAGAACCGCCCGTTATTTTTATCACGGTTTTCCCAGGCCACCGAATGGCGACGCTGCATATGCTGACGCAACGCTGTAGTCCCAACATGGGCCCCCTGGCCTTACGCTTGACTTTTTCTGGCCACATTAGTCGACATTACGGCTAGTTTACTTCCTCGGGCGGCTTGACGAAAAATTGACGCCCCGAGTAGGAAACTTTGCCCCCGCTACTCCTCACTGGTGACTGCTACTTCCTCCGTGCAGACCGGCACCACTACTGGCGTGGTGGTACTAGGCTGCAGTGGAGCTGGGTGCTCTACTCCGTGGCCGTTTGCCTCCCACTGACACTGCTGCGGGACCCCTGCTGCCTCCTGGGCCAATCCCACCGACTGTTTTGCTCGCCAAGCTGGCACCCTCTTCTCCTGATGATGCGGAAGCAAATAGCCTGATGACGACGAGGCTGCCAAGTGCGATCAGCCTCATCATCATCAATTAGGGTCACTCATGCGTCACTACTAGCCCGCTCGGCTGCGTTGTAGTGTTGGGTGTCTGTGGAGACAGGACCTGTCTCTAGACCGTGACTACCGAGGACCACTTCCTCGCCAGTTACTTCTTTCGCCTGGCTGCTTGCTGAAGATGGCGGATGTCTCCCTCCCGTTCCTGAACCGCCCTCTGTTAGCTCTTCCTCACTGTTACAGTGGGGCTGAGCCCCACAAGCATGCGATACTTTCGC